CCAGGTGACATGTTGAAAATGTGTTTTCCTGCCATCCTTGATTGAATGGATGCATGAAGGCCTCTATGATGGTATACTGAGTAGATATCTTTGAGTCATGCGGTGGTTCAAACCACATCATGCATTAGGTATGTGATGCCTGACACTTTCTTGGCACAGACCGGGTCTTCATCAAACTTCAACAACGCAAAAACAAAGCGCGTTCTCTCGGAAAAGTGAGGCGGCCACTTTCCGAAGGGAAGAAATCAAGACTTACATTTCAGAGACTTGATCTGGTTGGTGGTTTCAACCCCTCTGAAAAATCATGGAGTTCGTCAGTTGGGATGATGAAAATCTGAAAATCCCAATAGATGGAACGTCATAAAATTCCATGGTTCTAAATTCTAAACCACCAACCATCAAGCTTTCGGGAGTCACCGATAGGTTTCATGAGGTCAAGCATTCATCAAACCATAACCAATGGAGGACCCCACCTGCCACATAGGTCCCCCCACAAAAAAAAAAACATTGACATAACTTAACTTTAACAAAAAGTATTGGTACTTGTTGATACTGATTACCTATAGGTACTTATATAGTTGTTCTGAAAAAAACTGAGCTTGGAATTTGTCAAAAAAGTCTTCCTGGATCGTCAACGCATTTCAGGTACAAAAAGATCGCCGCCAGGGATCCTGATCCCTACTCAGTGGCCCCTACATTGAAAAAAGTGACCAAAACCCACAAATTTGGGTGTTCCTCGAATTCCACGTTCCTCCCTTTTATCATCCTTAAATTTTCATGGGATGTTCCAAAATTCATCAAAAATAAATACCATCCAACTATTGGGGTACCCCCATGGAACCCACCACAAAAACCTTATAGGATTCATGACATGCCGAAGATCCTGCCGCAGATGATATTTTTACATGACGACCCATGAAAAATGACGACCTTGGCTTGGAAGTTTCCACGAACTGACCAGTTCTATGTTACTAACTTGTCTTATAGCATGGGATGAGGGGTAGAAGTGATATTAATGAATCTATTCTTTGAGACAAGCCCAAACTCACCCACACCCAGATTCACCCTCGAAGCTAGTCTTTAACATTCCTTCTTCTGCGAAAGCTTCATGCAAGGACGTTGAACTCACGAAAGCTAACTCTAGTTGCAACCCCCGTCAAATTGGGAGATAAACGAGTATACTTCATATAGATATATGTGCAAATATACGTTACATAATGATTGATTGTAATTAATATGATTCTGTATGTATGTGTTCGAGGGATTGAATCTCATTTCTGGCTGAATGATTGCTTCTTTGCCAGTTGAGCAGCATTCAAAATCCCCAAATCCTTGGGTGGCATGAACGAACTAATCATCAATTAACCATCACTATCAGTTATATCACCATATTTGGGATGGTTAAAAGCCCTTCAAGAAATTAAATTATGGTTATTTAATGTTATTTATAACCACCAAATCACTATTAATATTTGGTGATGGTTTATTAAAATTTGGGCGTGGTGCCCCCTATTGCTTTCCGAACATCATAACCAACAGGTAGATCATGGTAGATCGCAGATGATCGCCACCACCCGCAAGCATCGGCTGGCGCACAAAGCATCTCGATGGCATGACGCAGGCGGAAACACGTGGCGAGCGGAATCCTATGGCAAGGGTCTGTATGGTGTAACTGCTCTCACTGCAAGGTGGTGCAAGTAAAGACTTAGCTAACTTGGACAAAAATTGTCCTGATGTTTATGGAAGTTATAAGATATATATTCCATAAACATTAGTTATTGACATATATATATATATATGTATGTAAAAAGTTCATGGGCTTTGCAAACAAACAAACATAGCTGTCTAGCTGGTGGGGGGGCATCACCACAACAAGGGGGGGTTGGAAGTATCTGCAGCGTTGACGCTCATCTGAGATTTTTTGTCACAACAATTAATATGTTCATCTACTTGACGAATATATCAATAACTAATGTTGGGAATAACTACATCATTAGCTATAGTTAAGTGGGTATACACAGCCTGTTTCCCAAATCACCATAAATCACCCACATTAATGTCCCCAGAAAAAGATAGACATTCACTTGTGGATACACAATGATACAAATGTGCACTGGACTGGCTGTGCAGGTATCGGGATACAACGAAGCTTTGAGCCAAGAGACACTCCTACAGCTATGAGGCACATGTTCATGGAAGCAGGGTTCAAAACCCAAAGTTTGACATCCTTCTTGCGTTGGTTGAAGTTCATAGGCTCATAGGGTTTCCCATAATGATGATAATGGTCATGATAATGCCTTTGGATCTAGCATAATTACAATCCCCGAACCAATCATCAACCACCAGGGGTAGACCGCAGCCAATGCTCGCCGTGCTTTTGCTGAAGCGCCATCTTTGGGTCATCCGATCTACTGATGGATTTGTCTCAAAGTATCGCAAGAAATCCCATGGAAACCTCGTCACCTCCCCACTGTTTCTTAGTGGCCATGAATTTGGGATGAATCTTCATGGTCTTGATGAATCTTTATGGTAGATTTGCCAAACTGAACACTTTTCCCATGTTCTCCCATCTGGCCTGACCATATTCGAGACAAAGCCTGGTGAAACCATGGGATGAACCCACTTTTCTGCGCAAAACGGCGCAAGTTTCGATTTCTTCACACGCGACGTCGTGCGGGCTCCCAGTGGGCGATGGTGTCCATGTGACAATCTGAATTGGACGAGTTTGCCTTTTCTTTGATGAATCCCAGTATATGACAGTATATATATATAATTATATATATATGTTATAGATTATTGTGTATGTGTATAATTATATATATATATATGTATATCGATCTAGGTACCTGTATCTATCTATGGGGGGTCGATTGATTCTATGGGATAGGGGCAATGTCTAGATATATCTAGGTGAAACTAAGCCGCCTACGACTACCCTGGGGTTTGAAAAACACAAAGTTCTGTGTTGAATGGGTATCAGCACTTTTGTTGGAGATGTCTTCAGAATTGTTATTTTAAAATGTGCGTTAAAAAAAGACTCGTAGAGATTCGAGATTCTTGTGTCCCGAGATTTTTGTCTACATGAAGTAGATAGATCTCAGAGACAAATTACAAATTACTATGCTTATAGTACCCCCCAACAAAATAGAAATCAATTCACCACTATTTCGTTAATGTTTTACTTTTCTATCTTTTTTGGGTACTATATTGTTGTATATTGAAGTACAGTAGATAATCTGCCCACTACACATCAACGTGGGTTTGTGTCAAAACATGGAACCCCAAATCCAACGGTCTAGAATGTATCCACCATACATCGGTTGGCTTAGTCTCAACTTACCTATGCTTGGGAGTCTGGGAGCGCCAAACTCAATGGGAATTCCAGGATCCTAAAATGGAGATACTGTACCATATAAGGCCATATTTTGGGGGTTATATCCCCTTACATAGGCCTTATATATGGTAGGTACCTCCATTTTAGGATCCTGAAATTCCCATTGACAAACTGTCCGAAAAAAATCCGACAAACTGGGTACCACCATTTGAGAACAAAACATACCTCCGGGCTGGTTGCAAGCCCCAAAGTATGAAGCTCAGCCCGGATCATCTCTGGTACATGAACACTTCGACCCTGAAAATACCCTCTGGTTAACTAACATAGCTATTGAAAATGGCCATTTATAGTGGAATTTCCCATTAAAAATGGTGATGTTCCATCGCTGCGTTAAATTACCAGAGGGTAAGCCATGTTGAGTGGTTAACCACTCATCTTCCAAGCCCAAAAAATGCCGTCGGAAGATGAATCCACCAGGAGCCCAGGGGTCTTGAATGGTCTTGATGCGAGACTTTGCCCTGCAACAGACCGGAAATTTTCGTGGGCAAAGTCGTGGAGATTTCGATCTTTCCAACATGGCTGCTATGGGAACCCGTGGGAACCTGGATAGCCCTGGTGAAGCTAGAAGTACGCCATCTGACAGCAGGACTAGGATCCTCGTCTCATTTAAAGCAGGGATGGAAATCAATATTGGGAGCACCAGTTTAATGATGTTTATATATATAGACATACATATATGATACAACATTATATATATATGTACATGTTCTTCCTGGATTGAATTCCCAATCATGCGATGGCTTGTGATAAGTATTCTTTGGTGATTCAAGTCATCACAAAAACACGTAGAAACTGAGAATAATAAACTATGTAACTAACTACATATTCCAAACCAAGCGCTGATTAATGCATCTGTATATATATATATATATGTGTGCAATCCGGTAATCAAACATGACAACGGGAAATCCTCGGCAATTACATGAAATGGGAACACAATATAGATGGGTAATTTTCAAATGTTTGACTACCAAACTGTGTATCCATATACTATAAGTATATCGTACATCCATACAATGTATACAGTATATTAAACATCTACATCTACAATGTATTATGTATATACACATTTTTATCTCTCTATGTATATATATATATATCTATCTGAATGTGTATATATATAATCTAATCTTATCTTATCTTATCTCTCTATCTATCATTCTATGTATATATATATGTGTATAGTTATATATCTATATCTATATATATATATCTACCTATCTATCTATCTATCTATCTAAATATCCATCTATCCATCTATCCATCTATCCATCTATCTATCTATCCATCTATCTATCTATCTATCTATCTAATCTATCTAATCTATCTAATCTATCTAATCTATCTAATCTATCTAATCTATCTAATCTATCGAATCTATCGAATCTATCTAATCTATCTAATCTATCTAATCTATCTAATCTATCTAATCTATCTAATCTATCGAATCTATCGAATCTATCGAATCTATCGAATCTATCGAATCTATCTAATCTAATCGAATCTAATCTATATCTAATCTATATCTAATCTATATCTATCTATCTATCTATCTATAGATATCTATATTCATTTCTGGCCAACAATTAGTACTAAAATCACTAAAAGCATCCAATTCTTCCCCACGCAGAGGCCCTCAGGTCGCGAGAGCCTGGAGAGTCTCAGAAGTGAAAATTGCTGGTAAATCCCCGATACATGTAGTGATAGCTGGGAAAATCAACTATAAATGATTATAAATGAGTGATTTTAGTATTCATCTGATATAAATATATATATGTATATGTGGATCCTGAACTAGCTTAGTTGAGGGAATATTTGGGCTTGTTTATTCACGGGGTAGCCGTCTTCTCAGGAAGTATTTGATCCATAGAGATATATAGTGTTGTGTGTATATGCACATGTAGTGTGGATTATAACAATCCCTAGTAGAGCAGCTGCGAAGTGGTGCCCTCACTTACCATTTGATTTAGACACCGCTTCCAGTTCATTGCCGGAATTTGGTAACCCCCGAAGATGGGTAAGTTGGTGAAAATAACTAGGCCAAAGGATGGATTTATAGCGGATATATCTACAGGAATTCCTCTTCTGCAATCATAAGTTGACTAAACAAACCAAGTATAGATAGATTCAGCCTCAATCCTGCTTATCCTAGTCATAAACCCATTTATCCTATCATAAATCTAGGTAAATTATAGTAATTCACTAACCTGAAATAAAACCATATTTGGATAATTCCCCGTACAAACAAGTCTTCCAGTGAGGTCGCAGTGAGGTCGTTATAATTTACCAAGATAAATCCTATCTAAATCCATTTTTGTCTTTGTGAAGTCCTGATTTTTGCAGTTGAAAAAATCACCATTTTGCGGGGTCGGTCATTTAGCTTCACTCAAGTCGTGGAACCGGTCACAGGGGTAAAAGCAAGGAGAAATGGTGGATTTAATGGGATTAACAATGGTAATTCATAGGGATTCAACTGGGATGTAAATGGGATATCACCGTTCAATCATGGGAATTGAGTGATTCATTGGATTGGTTTAAGGGACAATTTACAGGAAAACCCCATATTCAATGGGAAAATCTACAGTATGGAAAACTAACATGACTATGGAACATCACCATTTTATAGCTGGGTAAATCAACGATTTGAATGGCCATTTTCAATAGCAAAATGTTAGTTTACCAGAGGGTGACGGTTCAAACAGTGGGAATTGAGTACTACAGTAACAATGACATTCAATAGTTTCAATGAGAATTACCTACACTTGTATCACTATATGAATATGACCTACAACCAATGATAAATATGACCTACAACCAATGACAAACTATGAATATCACCTATATACTTTTGGGATTCTTCTGATACAATAAGAATGGACATTCAATATAAAGTCAATGGCAACCGTTCGGGAATTTCCATGAGGAATTTCCACAAGCTGCGACGTGAGGTCACTAAGCCCAACCCAAAAATCAGGGCCGTTTCTGGCACCAGACTTGTCCCAGGCCCATTGGCATCGGAAAGCAAGCATATAGTGTAGTTATTGTATACATCTCCAGTAATCATTTATAATCTACATCTACAATTCATCATAACTTAGATGTAGAAACCTCCAGGAATGGGAAAACAACAACAACCCACAACCCATCCCCAACTCATCGACCGCCTTGATGGCGTTCTGCTTGGTGGTCTCCTTCTGGATGCTCTTCAAATCCGTCTGATCCGTAGGCACCACGGCCCACTGCTGCCGCGTCTTGCCAGCCTTGGGAGCGGCCTCCTCGGACAAGATGTTGGCCTCGGCGTTCAATGGCACGAGGTTTTTCAAGATCCGTTCTGGAGGTAGGTTGAGGTGGCTCAATTGAAAATACCCTCTGGTAATTTGTTACATAGCAATTGGAAATTGCCATTTATAGTGAGTTTTACCATTAAAAATGGTGATTTTCCATAGTTTTTTTGTATGTTTACCAGAGGGAAACCCATGGTCATAAAATGTTAATGAATCCCCACAAGTTGGGATAGAATATGGTATCAAATATAATCTCTGACTTAATATGGCTATATGATCCACTTATATAGCTATAGCTGGAGCTGCACTCCCAAGCCAAGAATAATGGATTTGATCATCAAACATGGGCACTTACCAAGAGAAAACGTGGGGAGTTAGAGTTGATTTACAACTAAGTTGGGATCAACATAACTATTGTTGGGTTCATGGTGATGAAATAACATACTACAACTGTACAAGAAGTTCATGGTGGAAGCATACACCGACTCCATGATCTGAATTTAAAACCACAATTTCTACTACCCTGGGCAGTTCTTCCTACGCTTGTCCACAGAAAAGCCTACAATGACGGCAATAACAACATGGTTTTGATCTGTTTTGTTTTTTTTTGTAAATCATAGGTTTGATTCTCTAGGAACATGTTTTGCTCCCACATTACACGGTGGCAGTTTGCTAAGTACCGGGTAAAATCATCCCTTTCCTCATCATCGTCACAAAACCGTTCCGGCAGCTGATTCGTTGGCCATTCTATTTATCATTTTAGGGTACTTACCAGATCTTACAAGCATCAAGATCTTGCCTGATTCCAATCATTTACCATTTCCGCAAAACTTTTGCCCAATTTTTTTCCTGGTCTCCTTTGTTTCGGAGCTTTTTTTTCGGACCATGAGTCGGAGGCGGAATCCGGCCGAGGTCCCGGCCAAGTGCCTTCGAAACCTTTGTCTTTCACCATCACTGGTGAAGACCAGGTCCAGGGTGGTGGAAAACTGTAGCCGCACCTCGCGAACGGAATCGGACCGAGGGTTGACAGCGGCTCAAGTGGTGAACATGATTAAAAAACCTGGGAAGAGATTGAAGAGATGTGATTATGTGTAATATCATACTTATATATATATGGTATGATATGATATGATATGATATGGTATGATATGATATGATATGATATTATATTATATATATATTATATTTAAATTTATATATAGTATTGTACATACTAATGCGCGTTCCATCCCAGAATTTCGAACATTCTCCTGTTCTCCTGGAACGAATTGCCAGGATGATTGACCGAATGACCCATGACACAGCCATATGGAAAAAGCTCCATCCTTGGGCTGCAGTTCCACTAGTAACTAGCAAGTGGTTGTATACTCATTATATATATATATACACCCATCGTATCCTCCAGTTGTACGGGTTATCTCCCAACTTATAGGAGCTTAAATCCAGTAGCAAATCTACACATTCTACCGATAAGGCGTCACATTTAAGGCTGGCATGTGGCCGGATCACAAATTCAACTAGTCCAACATGTTTTCGGTACAAATCACCAGTTGGTATCCCAATCTTGCTGCTATATTTTGTGCTAAAAATCACCTGCTTCGTGGTTTTAACCATCTTGAAAAATATGACTTCGTCAGTTGGGATGATGACATTCCCAGCTGTTTCTGGAAAGTCTAATCAAATTCCATGGTTCCAGTCACCAGCAACCAGTCACATATTGAATTCGTATCACAAAACCCATTGGTGGTAAAGATCATCCCCATATATCATCCCCTAAAGTATCATTAAACCCATGTGGTAAACCCATATATCATCCCCTAAAGTCTAAAGTATCATTAAACCCATGTGGTAAACCCAACATCAACCATCCCCCAATTCGTATCATGATTCCCCAGACACAAAACCAGACAGAAAAAAACCTGTCATCATCCCCCGAGGTCACCGAGAAATGATGGGACCTTTTTTGGTCCCCGAGAATGGAAATTGGGCCCGGTTGATCCCGTGTGGTGCAAGCCGCGTTTGCCACTCCAAAGACCAGCAAGCTATAAGATGTTATAAGTCTTAAGGTGCTGCCGCAAATCCAAACCGAAGTTGAGATCTACTACTAACTGTGAGGTAAAAATGAACAAAATCCACAGTTTGCTGATAAACCAACTTTATCACATCCCCAATAAACATCCCCAATAAACCATAGTATTTGCAGGTCTTAATCATATTAAACGAACTTTAGCATCCCCAATAAACCATAGTAACTAACTATTGTTAACAAACAGTAGTGAATAGCATTAAGCATGGTTTATTGGGGATTACTAATTATAATAACTATAATCACCTATAGACTATACTAACATATACTAACTATAGTTATTCATCACTTATTAAATAATACTTATTACTTATTACCATGTTTAATCATCACAATACCCAATAAACCTCATATGAAAACAAAACATCATAGACGACTGTGTTAGCTTTATGAGATGCTTAAAAACAATCCCACCTTTCAGGACCGCTGAAGCGTGGTTGAAAATACCAGCCTGCTCGGATATCCTGGTTACTAATTAGGATCCGTTATAAACAACCATATTATATAACCAGCAATATTTATATATCCATACAATTATGTACATACATGTAATTATATAAATATATCTGTATATACATCCAAATAATTATGTATATATATATATCCATATAATATATATGTATACAAATCAATAAATATATACATGTTTAGATTAATATCCAAATAATTAGGACCAGGACGGGTGTGCTGCCCGGGGAAGTGCGTTTTGACTGCGCAGGGCCAGTGTTTTTATCATCATCATCATCATCATACATGAAACCCCAAGTACGCCTTGAAACCAAAATCTTCCTAAAACTGTGGTAAACACCCTAAAAACCCTAAATGAAACCCTAAATGAAACCCTAAATAAACCTTAAACAAAGCCTAAACAAACTCTAAACACACAAACCCTAAAGAGTTGGTCACATGATAAACCTCGGGCGGCACACCCGGCCTGGGGGTATAATCACATATACATATATCATATATCGTAGATCCATAGTATAATCCATCAGCCATCGATCAACTGGATCCGCGCCTTAGGGCTGGACTCAGCCAAGAACCACACACCCTGCAAATCATCGAAGTCGAAGGGGCCCTTGGACGCCTGACTTCCGCGGCTGCAACTTTTGCGTCTGCAAATTTACCCTCTGCTAAACATACATAGCTATTGAAAATGGCCATGTATAGTGAGATTTCCCATTAAAAATTGTGATTTTCCACAATTATGTTAGTTCACCAGAGGGTACCATTATATCATATTATATCATGTCATGCCATATATTTATACCTATCTTTTATATTTATGTATATTTATGTACATTTATGTACTTTGTACATGTTTGCCTGTATATCTAATTTTACTGTCCTTGCATGTCCTTTAAATTTACTGATATTTATTCGTACTGTCTTTAGTTTGCTTATAGTTACTTACTCATGTCTACTCCTATTTACTTATAGTTTCTTCTATTTGACTTCTACATACTTGTTTTTTGCTATACTGACACATTTCCATATGATAACTGTATTCAATTATGCATAGACATCAAAAACCATATCTTGCATGGGAAGTAAAACACCGAGCGCCACCACGGCCTCAAATTTCTCCTCCGTATCGTTGGAGGTGCTGACCACGGTCCTAGTCTTTCAACGAGAGGTCGGGCGGTGATGTCATCGGCGATTTTATGATACTTCACCAACAACAGCTTGGATTTATTTGTGACGTTTGATTGGTAAGTTGACTCACAACTACAATCAACTAACATTTTATGGTGAATATATATAGTGTGTATATATATACATATGTATATCTATCTTAAGCATATATATATATATATATCTACAGATTGCATGCAGCATATATGGTTATAATATATACTGTATATATATAGAGAGAGAGAGAGCTGGATGGCTTTGCAAAGCCCCAACTTCTAACTGTGGGAGCCCACTGAAAGTGTTCCAAAGTTTGAGTCAAGGATCTCTTTGAAAGGCGGCAGCTGGTCATCGTCCGAGTCTGTATCCATCGCCGCCTCAAAGTTGTTTCGGGGATGAACAAATCCGCATTTTTTTGGTTGATTTACCCATTAAAAATGCTGACTTCCCAAAGCTATCTTAAATTGCAAGAGGGTACTTTCACATGTTTTCAACAGCAAAAGTGGGGATTTAATAGGATTTGTGATTTAAGAGAGTAATTTCACATTATTTCAGCACAAATGGGGATTTCAATAGGATTTAACAAGAGTTCACTGCAACCAATGAATAGGCTTTGCAATCCTCCCCCACTGATTGTGTGAAAGTCCAGGATGAGAATCCCTATCTTTTGTGAGTTTTCAAACATAAGATCTGGTTTCAAAAGTTCACAAAAGGAGGATTTTGGGTAACAGTTCCTTGGAGATCTTCTGAATCTTTCTGATATGTGTACACAACGTATACCTGCTTGTGTGTTGGGTGCTAAAAGGTCTGATTCGCGCCATTTTTGTGTACATATCGGATCATATCAGTACACCAAGTCATAGTTTTGAAAGACAAGTAGACATGACCTCGGATGACATTTGCTCATCTGGGTAAACTTTTGAGACGTTGACCTGCGTGACGCGCGTGGCTGCGATCTACCCTGGTTGATGATTAGTTCCGGGATTGCACTAACCAATATGGGGAACATCACAATCCATATATCAACTAACCAGTATAAGTGTTATGTTCAACTGGTTGTGGCACCTGATCAACATTCTCGTCGGCGTCGTAGTACCGATCATCATTGGGCCTCCGGCGACAAGGGGAGTACCGACTGCGACAAGGGGAAGCCTCTTTGTCGAAAGAACCTTGGGGCCTGGTACTCCCAAATGGATGGTTTACAATGGAAAATCCTACTAAAATGGATGATTTGGGGGTAAGCCCATTTTAGGAAACCTCCAAATAAAGGTTGAGGGTGGTAAACCAAACAATGAGACCCCAGTTGGAGATGATGTCTATATTCAATATGTTTCTATCCCACTCAGGTAAGTCATGTCTTTTAGATCCAAACATGGCTTTTTTTACGCAGCAAACATGGGGATGACACAGCCATTCCATCCCATTCCTGTCCGACTGTCCAGGTCAATGAAAACTATCTGATGATGCCTGTCACCATCCATCTACCAGTAAATCAACTTAGATAAGGAAAACCCTTGGTTCCCTAGAACATGATCTATGAATGATGGTGCCTAATTACATGGAGAAAATCCATGATTTTCCCATAGGAAACCATAGGAAACCATAGGGGTTTCTTGAAATGATCCCCAAAATTATGGGCTCCATGAGATGACTTGGGGCACCTCCACATGACTTAGTAAACCTTCATTTCTTGGTTGGCATCGGATCCAGCCGCGCCTCCAGAATTTGCTCCAGAAACTATGGAAGGGGATGACCTCATGCTCATCCAGCAAAGGTTTTCATGGTTTTATGCTTCCGGCGAGTGATTAGAGGGTTGGTTCAACCTAATCATGCATGTTGTCATATATATATATGTATATATATATATACACAAAATATTACAACATACAAGACACAATAATGATAAGGTAAATATATATAATGTGTATCTATATATATATATGACATGTATATAGAAAGGCCCGCCTAGAACGGCAACAGTTTATAACATGTTCTAACTATATAGGTTGATTGGGGGTTGCGATATCTACCGCTAGATGATGCTAGATGGGGTTAAACACCAACTTATACAAGTTACTGGAGGGCACGACCTTGTAGATACAGTTTCAACAAAAGAGGAAGCTGGTTGATGTGTTTTCTTCCTCGGATGACCCAACCTCTATCTGGTGTGTTGGGAGCAACCTCGAATTCAAAGAATGAGGAAATCGAGAAAATCTCAAAGGCAAACCATGCGACACCATGCCATGAATGATGCTTGGAGGCGAAGCCACCGCAACATAAGCTTCAGCTTTGTGAAACATGTCTGTAGGAAGAAAACTCTGCAACATAAATCTGAGCTCAGTGGAATTGCCCACAATGTGTGCCCCACCATGCCCCACCCACAAATAAGTTTGTTGATTATATGCATATCCAGCGTTAATCCCAGTTAGCCTAGTTGTAAACCAACTTATCTATGTGCATATGGCGAGCGTTTGCCTGGCTCAATGAGCCATGGCTAGTCTTAGATGAAAACACATCTTCAAAGATAAGAGTTGGCTGGGATACGAAACTATATGTAAACACCCCTTAAACATGTCATCTCAACATATCTTAACCATTCTTAACCGTATTTCAAGATTGAAATTCCAGTCAACTCTAAAGCCTATCCCTTCACAAACGTCCTCGGTATCCCCACGGTGAGGCTGCATCTGGTGAGTACTAAGAGTGAGAGGCGCCTGCTTGCCATGACTAGGCCTGCCAAGCTCGAGGTTCATCCCCGCAAATCGGGTGGTATGTGGTGAAAAAACAATGCCATGTTTACCATCCCCCAGAAAAATCACCATTTTTGTAGGTGGTATAAACTTACCATTCCCAAATGGGTAGAATACCAGTCATAGGTAGTTTATGACAGTGTCTATGACATTGTTTTAACCACATTATTTCATAGGTTTTGATCCAGACCCATATCTATAGATCCGGACCCATATCTGGAGCAGGGACATCAAGCGGATAGAAACCAACCGTGCAGGAAGACGGAAGCAGGAGCGACCATAAAATAGTGTCGGTACGGAATCTAAAAGTGTCTCCAAAAGGACACGCATCGCCGTTTTTTTTGCTTGGTGAAAATCCCAGATTTACGGTCTTAACATGTCTTGGTTACTCAAAACAAAAGGATGGCCTAAAATCCAACAGTTTATCAAGATTCAATTAGCTTCAACCCAAAGAACGGGTACAAGCGACCGCTTGTAGAGGCACATCATCCAAAGGAAATCCCCATGGCCACATCAGTCTGCACTCGGTAGAATTGATGAACTGGTTGGTGGTATACCTACCCCTCTGAAAAATGATGGAGTTCGTCAGTTGGGGTTACTATTCCCAACTGAATGGAAAAATAAAAATGTTCCAAACCACCAACCAGAGGTTTTTTTTTTTTTCGGACCATATGAGGGCGATTTCCCCCAATCCTAACCATCACCTATATTGAGGTCATGGCTGGGGTCGCTATAATTCACCCAGTCGGTATACCATCCTGTAGACTAACATGGATGTGGAAAACCAATCATTTGTAGATGATTTTCCTAGGGAAACCAACGGTTTTTCCACATCTGTGTCAGTTTACCCTAGGGTATAACTTGTAGATAAAAGGTATAACTCAGGTGGATAGATAACTCGTAGTTAGTAACTTACCCTAGTTATAACTTATAGATAACTTACCCAAATTGACCCAAAGGTATACTGTAACCCAGGCCAGCTCGCCTGAAGTATGTACAAAGGACACACTCACCTCAGAAGTCGTTGCATCGCTGGTTTCCCAGTTGGTGAACGAGGTGATACGTTATGGTTATGGTTGCGTTACATAATTAAATTGGCTTAACTGGGTTAACTAGGATGAACTAGGATACGAAAAGTTGGTTTCTGTTTTTTAATGGTGATGAAATAACTATGCTTGGACGGGCCTAAAGACCGGATTGGAACTTTGCGGTACCCAATGTACCATTCAGACTAGTGGACACGAGTTACAACAGCAATGCCCTTTGGTGCACAAGATGTTTTTAGTGGTTCTTTGTGGATTATCCTCAATTCTTGTTGACTAATACAAAGCCCAAACTACCCTCTGGTAAACTAACATAGCTATTGAAAATGACCATTGATAGTGGATTTTCCCATTGAAAATGGTGATTTTCCATAGTTTTTTGTATGTTTACCAGAGGGGAACAACAAACCAACAGAGGTTTTCTTCACACTGCTCAATTGGTTCGATCCAATCCAGCCAACTGAGTTGCAATTTAATTTCGCTCGTCCTGCTGACTCAGTCATAAAATCCATCGACCAATTATCAGCTCATTTATCTATCGATCATGAAATATCAATGAGAGATAGATAATGATAGATCTATATGTAATGAAAGATAATGATTACTGGGACTATCTATCATGATCTATCTCTCTATCTGTCGGTCTGCCTACCTGCCGTATCTATTACCATCTGGAGGTATGAACCAATCCATGGTGATGTGCGGATTCACCACTGAAGAAATCCCTTGGTGACGATAGCTAGATCGAACAGATATGCAGATACTTAGCCTCTGGTAAACATACAAAAAGCTATTGAACATGACCATTTATAGTGGATTTGCCCATTGAACATGGTGATTTTCCATAGTTTTTTGTATGTTTACCAGAGGGTACTATAGAAAGATGATCCATTTTCTATTTCTAATGTGAGTGAAACAATGCCATCAACCATGCCCAAGTCATGATCATAAATGGATGGGATTTCAACCATTCCCAGTCATGGGTGGTAAACATGACATTGTTTTAACCACATTACTACATTTTAGTATCCATGTCTATTTCTATTATATATACTATAGATTATCCAATTACTATATATATATATATATCCAATTACTATAGATTGGTCCAATTACTAAAATATTTAATATATAGATTAATATATAATAGATTATATATCCATTTCTATGTCTACATTGCCAATCTTAGATACCCTGCAAAACATAAATTCTTGGCTGGTTAGTAGATATTCCCATTAATACCAAAAGATTAAAGGGTTAAAGTATCCATCTAAGATTGACCTACCTAGTCTACTATCTTTCTCTATTGTTGAACTGTGGATCTTCCCGCGACGCCCGCACTCCATCCAGGGCTCCAAAGGAATGCCGCCGCGGCGGACTTGGCAGGTGTCCAGCATGGTGGCGATCCTTGGCGAAACTCTGCACCAGTGATGCTAGATGCCTTTATGTATTCCATTATAATTGTATTAATACACATTATACCGGCGGACTGAAAGCTAGAATGCCACAATTTCCACAATTTATATTAATTGATACAGGAAATGAATGGTACCAGTGATATTAATGGTACAAAATTAATACAAATTCTCTTGGAAATTATTCCATCATAATTGTATTAATACATATTAATACATGGTTGGGATTCAAATATATGTGTGCATCATAGCTTTAATATCAACCATCCCCAAATGGTAGGCTCAGTATTGGATTTACTTGTAGTGTTTCATAGTTCTAGTTATCTATAGTGCTTCATGTTTTTAATTATATGTATATATATATAATGATTTTTCCATCAAATGATTTATAGTGTTACCAACACAGAGTTGCCTTCACATAGTTACCAACTGGTTTCCTGGATTTTCTCCATTTTAAGGGTACCAACTAAACGGTTTTCGGTGATATAACTTATATAACTATCCCCAGCGGCACCCAGCTTGTACCCTATGCCGGAAGGTGTTTCCAGGCTGTGAACTCGATGTGTTTTTACTTTATACCCGGCCTTGTAAACATACAAAAAGCGAACTGGAATTACCCATTAATAGCATGGTGATGTTCCATAGTTTTGTTAGTTTACCAGAGGGTAGCTCCAGCTTTCCCACTTTTGTATTTTTGATCATTATTTTTTCTGGGGGTTGCAACAATGGGATTATATGATAGTTTAAGTTGGTTCAAAACTACAATAACTAGGATTGATGATGATGATGGTGATGATGATGATGATGATGGTGGTGGTGGTGGTGGTGATGAGGATGATGCTGCTGCTGCTGCTGATGATGTTTTTTAATTATGATTATGATGTTGATGTTGATTTTGATGTTGATGATATAATATCTTACATGCTGTATAGAGGAATAGTGAAGCAACTTATCAGAAAATCCAGAGACTCTCACCTGGCAGCGGAACAAACACATAAGATCCTTTTTAGGTCAATTACAGTATATGAATTGCATCCTCATATGGTATGAGATTATAAGATTTCAATCAGAACTTTTTACAAGGCAATAACATCATGTTCGCATAATTTTGTGATCACATCAGGCAATTACCAATGATAATTTGAGGCAACTACCTTCATTCTGGACAATTATGGAATAGTTGGCTAAGTATCTGAATTAATGCCAAGTTAGGATTAATAATCCCCGCGGTGTTAACCAACCCCCTCTGCCCCCCCAAAAAAATGTAATTTAAAAAAAGGTGGTCCCCCAGGATTAAAAAAACTCTCCGATTAAAAAACCACCAGTGCTGAAATCAATGTTTTATCCAACAATTTTTATTTCCAATTCTATTTATTTCCAATTTGTTTTTACTTTTTTTTTAATCATCATTGTTATACTTAGGGTTTAAGTTGATCATTGAAAAATTCAAAAAATGACTATTCCCCAAATGATCGATTTCTAATTAAAATCTTTATAAAAATCATCAGTTTGGATAGCTCCCAAAGGGTACCCCCCATAAGCCCATGTCCCCCATTAATAATAACCATGGTTTGCCCCCGATTAATCAACCACCTTTCTGATCCATGAGATTTTAACAAATCCAATAAAATTCTATTAAGATCTAATTGACGTAAGCCATATCCAAATTTTTATGGTTCAGAGTTGCTTACTATTAAGGGGTGGTCAAGAAACTAGCCAGAAGGTACCCCCCTACCTACCAGGGGGGGGGTGATTAATCCGATGTTGGCATTAATTATTATGCAACTAGTTTACATGCCCCAAAAATGTAACTAGGAATCCTCCGGTTTCTACATGGCTTGCTGGATTTTTTTCTCCAGTCGGTTTGATTCACCAGGATTTCCCATTGCTACTTGGTGTGGGTTAGTTCACCCGTGGTGGTGGATCAACCTACTTATATCCATACTTATCCGACTGGGGTTATAATCCACTAACTGGGATGAGCCACCAAGTATGAATATATAAATATGTATTAATATTATATATACATATATACATAATCAATCATTTACCTATAACCATAACCCATAGATATAATATTCATATATTATATATATATATATTATATACATATGTTTATAAATATATGAAACCCATACTTTCCCATTATAATCCACTTACGATTCCTGAGATGAGCCACCAAGGCTTCCCAGGCGTCACCGAGCATCGTCGCGGGGTTCACGGAGACCTCCCACACGCCCTTCACGGCACCCGTGATGCCCTTGGCGTTCCGCCTTCAGCCGCGGTGCTATGGCTCCTACCATACGGGATCCCTGAAAACCCACAGGATGGGGCCCCCAAGATAGCGTTCAGTTGAGACATAAGTGGCTTAACTATGGTTTATGGTAGATATATAACATTATATAACTATAGGCAATGGGGTTTATAGTGGTTTATAAAGCAACATAAAACTGGGGGGACGCATCCTGCAATAGTATGGGAACATTATGAGAATGGGATCAGGGGGGTTGAGTCATTGGGGTCCCAAACAAAAATCTATGGATTATAATGGATTAGATTCGATATACACTGGGGTTATATCATGGGGATATGTTCATAATATTTCATAATATGATATCTGGTTGGTGGTGTACCTACTCCTCTGAAAAATATTAGTCAGTTGGGATGATTATTCCCAATATATGGAAAAATAAAACATGTTCCAGCAGAATGCCAAAGCGGTTCTCATCGGCGGAGATTGATAACTTGACCTGGCCGATCAAGTCCTCCAGACTATCCGCCGAGCAAACTGGCATCATTCGCGGAAGATCCTGAATGGCCAGATGCTCAGTGACACCAGACTCTCCCCAAGGAAAATGAATAGTAGCATTGACCAAGAAGGCTTGGCAACAACGTTCCCTTGAGCAATGCCCCCGGAAGCTAAGCAAATCCGCAGTAAAGCAGGTAGATGGCAGATTATAGTTCAACATGTTGATGATTTTGACCATGTTGACACTTTGTTCCCACCAAAACACCCAGAAAATCCATGGGATGCCAGAAAAATTGACCAGGAGACACCTAGTATATAGCAGCATTCAAACATGTCAGGTGAGAAGCCAAGACCAGACCAAACACTCCCAAACAGTGACTATAACGCTAAGCAACCACAAGTATCAGTAGACTCGCACCTTGAAGTAACTTTGCTATTGTAGATTGCTTAGGAGGTGGTTGCTTCTGGTGGTTGCTTCACAGCCAATCAACGATTATCAGCTAAAAAAAAGGGCGACGTTCCATCAAATTTGCTATGAAACCATGACTCAAATCACCCGACTCACCTCTTGCAGAGTCCACAACCTATTGCACAATTCAGATGACTTGGGATTCCAAATTGCATATCTAGAATCTAGTTCTCCAAAAATGGGATATCCACATCAAATGGATGCTATCATATCAACATAAGATTAATTAGACGAATTCATTGGATATATTAGATTATTAAGCCAATTTTCAGACCAACCAAGATCTCTGGAAAAAATGATCACATGTCCGAAATCAGATATTCTGCGGCTCTTTGGATGATTTGCCTCCAATTTCCATCATCTATGGGGCTGTCGCTGGAGTCGCTAGAATTTCTACAACCCTCCGGTGTCGTCAAAGATGGCAGCTGTTTGAATCCCCACAGCCATGGAACTTTCTATGGAAATCGCCCCCAGGTCATGGGGAAAATCGAGCTTTCAAACTTCACAAATTGTTGATACATAGAACTACCCAATTTGACAAATTTTAATCATTTTTTATGGGAAGTATAAACCATCGAACTGTGGATGGTGTTTTATTGTTTTAATAACATTAATATACCATTGATAGCGCTGGTGAACTATATGAAATGAAAAATCGCTAAACCCCACGAACATCCTAGTCATATCCCGATAAAATCGATGAAATCCTTCTTATATCAAATTACCCATTATGGCGACGAATCAAGACAGTACCCAGATGGTACCCCAAAACAGCTGGTTAATGGATGTTTATTTCCACAGTCTTTGATGTCATATGAGTCATATGGTAATTTCATGGGTAATTTAACCTATCCCCAGACGACTTTACCGCCACAAAAATACCCTGATTGACGTCTGGTAGGTGAATTGAGGTTGGAACTTATGCTAGCTAACTAATGCTAATTATATAGTAATCCCTTCACATGATTGTTTTTTTGTAAGCCCACTATATAATCTATATAGCTATAATTACAATCACCATAAACCCCAATTATTCATTTCCCATCTGCATGATATCATTTGGTGATTTTAAATTGCGACAAATACCGGCTAAATTTGGCTAATCATATCATCATATCATATCATGTCTGGGTAAATTACAATATATCATATCACTAACCTGAAATAAGGCTAATATTGGGATAATTCCCTTTACCAACCTTTAATCCAGTGAGGTCGCAGTGAGGTCAATCATAATAAGTCATATTTTACCGAGGATCATATCACATTTTTCCAAATGTTTCCCCAGCGGACCCCTCCGCCTGATGACCGCCTCTTCCCCTGCAATCTTCTTCCGCTCGCGCGGCACGCGCCTGAGAGCCTGGTGTTGTGCGAAGGGGGCTTGGATCGATTGCAAAATCTTGGGGAAATGGTAGGAATGGTAGGAAAATATGGAAAAACTTACAATCACATGTATTTGTCTGTGGAAATGTTGGGAAAGCATATGGAATAAAACACATGGACAAAAACATGGAAAATTATCCCGGCAAGAGATCCCAAACAGTGTGGGGGGAGTGGCAGGATAATGTATTATATTTATTATAATTTGGATGGTGATGATGATGGTGATGATGATGATGATGAGGAGGATGATGATGATGATGATCATGATCATGATGATGATGCTGATGTTGATGATGATGAACAGCAGGATGATACGAGTAGCGAATGAATAGGTCTCTGCCAATTTAGTTTGACGCTGACTATTTAGGGGCAGGCTCAACAACATTTGGAAACAAAACGAACGAGACAAGACGGTGCGAGATATCGGAAGACAAGACAAGCCAGGCGGAACAAAGCGACACAGAACTAAGACCTCTGACTCGGATTTGTCCAATGCATCACTGTTATACATTTCATGACTGTCAAGAGAATGTCACTAGGAACAGAGACCAACCGTGTTTGAAATCATACACATAGCTGATGTTTGGTCAGACATGAGAAAAACTATTTCTGCTGTATGTACTTTGGCTCATGAAAATGGAGATTATACCTATGCCGTGAGCTACAAGTGTGTCTGCTTGTTCACTGACACGTTCCAAACAACTTTGTGCATATATATCCTATTCTGTGAGAACAACAATTGCAATGCGAGACGGTTGCTCGAAAGAGACTGTGAGCCGAAGCAACATATTGCGTAGATGACTCTGGCAACAGGACAAGCCAAGGCTTGACAATCGAAATGCACTGTGAGATTTCACAAGGGTAACTTTATACGGATTGTTCAGGAAAAATGCCGCGCCCCGAATTGAGTCCAGAACGCAGACACACACACACACACAAACTTTGTGCGAGCCTGCGCAGTCGAAATGCAAGTCAAAAATTCAGAAGAGCCACTTTAGACCGAAATTTACAGGAAAAATGCCGCGCCCCGGATTGAGCCCAGAACGCAGACACAGACTTTGTGCGAGCCTGCGCAGTCAAAATGCAAGTCAAGTCATTTCACAAGAGCCACTTTGTACAGAAATTTACAGGAAAAATACCGCGGCCCAGCTGGAGCACCCTGATCAAGCACCGGCCTTTACTCCTACTGTAAGAACCCCTCAGTGTGGACACACTGTTTGGTGAATTACTCGAGAAATTACAGATTGATCTTGATGGATCTTGCTCATTCGTCATTTCATCCCAGCTTTTTGCGAAGACTTTGAAACATCCCAAGTTTTCTGATAGTACTTATATAATCTTAAAAAACTCATTGATGGTTGAGCCATCATGCCATGTCTATGGGCGATGTCTGAGTACTGATGCTCTGTGGAGCACATGCTGATCTGTGGAGTTTTCAAATCTATCTGTGCTTGTAGGAAACATCTTCATCCAGACAATACCCTGAGGAAAATTAAGTGTTTTAGATGTAGTTTTCCCCACCATGTGTATATATATAATATATAATATATAATATATAATATAAAATATATATATATAATATATAATATATAATATATATAATATATATATACAATATATATATATATACAATATATATATTATATATATATATACAGTATCATTTTCTGAACGACTTTCCCCATTGGCCCATGGCTTTTCCACATCTTTTTCTATGTCTATCTGGTATACGCTTCCGCAGCTTTCCCCACCGAATCAGGATAGAACCTGCCAAACATGTGGTCCTTTGGTACCATGCTGCTGCATATTTACCTACATTCCCGATAATGGTAATATACCATAGTACTATATGAAATAACCTATTCACTATATGGTACATTATCATAGGCAATAGTAATATAATAGCTATCATTTACCTACATTTAGAAATGTTACTAATATACCATAGTCTTGGTTTGGAGCTTTTGGAGCAGCTTTTCTCCAACACTTGGAGTCGAAGCATCTCAGACTCACAGTTCTGGTGGAACCATCTCTAAAACGGCAGCTTGGTGATGCTTGGTGTGGGAGAATAAAGAACTGGGCATGCTGGCTACGGGTCATTTTATCCTAATTTTTACAGTCTTTTCCTTATGATATCCCACCCTATGCCAGCCTGTCTTTCTGAATACATCCCGACTCCTCTCAATTCCTTAAATCGGCCTCTTTAGATTTTTAGATATCGAGCATCTTGGTTCACATCTAATCGATACAGTACTATGGAGATTTCCTTAAAATGGGGCTACCTCCAAATCATCCAAGTCATTAAACCACTTTGAGTATTGAAACCTATGGTCGTCTTTCTACGAGTCTTGAGGTCAACCTATGTCCGGTCAGCCCGGTGCCAGCCCGGTGCCAAGTCATGATCTAATGACTTGGATGATTTGGTACCCACCCCACATTTTAGAAACCATTTATAGTGGATTTTCCCGTGAAAAATTGTGATCTTCAATAGCTATGTTAGTTTACCAGAGGGTAATCCATTTCCAATGGTTTTTAATTTCACTGGGCCATGTTGAAAACTCCAAAGCAATGGATGCAAATCAACAAATCGACAGTCCCATTCTAAATATCCTCACCAAATAATAATATATTTCAGATGTCCACAGGATTCTATTGGTTCATTAAAAAAAAACACCCAACAATTCGTGTGAAGCCGCCTCTTGAAAGTACCTCCGACGCGACGTGCTTTCGAAGACCAAGAATTCCATGTCGACCTCTTCTTCCCAAAGGAGGCAAAGAAACTGCCGGATCCTGCCGCAGTTTTTTTGAGACCCAATGAGGGAAAATGGCTGTGTCTTTAATATCTCAAGATATATCTTGGAATATCAACAATATACTTATATAATCCTATATACTTGGATAAATGATGATCAATTGATATATATATATATATACACCTAACTAGAACACCCAAGTAGCCTTTATTAAAAATATTAAAAAATGCTGTTTCAACCCAGAATCTTCGCACTTTTGCCATTTTTGCTGGGGTATTTGGAGGCTCCAGGTGAATGGATACCTGTCTGGACCTACGGATCCAAAGAACTCCTTCTCGAAGCTACGGCTCTTCCACCATACCTCAAACACTTCCTAAGCTAAGAGTGAGAATTTGCTGGAAATTTAGAGACAAATGGAGGAAATATGATGGTTTTACCATGTTTTAACATGTTTACCCTTCAATTTTTGGGCGTGAATCGCGCTGAATTCGTAATTCTGGGAGTGGAAGGTCAAGGTGGACAATCTTTGACACATATATACCGTCGGATTAGGTCATACCCGGTATCATACCCCACTCGGCACCAAATATCAAACCTAACCTGCTACCTGCACCATAATCATATAGTATAAATGTCCAAAGTTCAATGCTAAGCCTGAGTTCATGAACATTTCACGATTGAACTCTGAGCTTTTATACCTCTGGTGATGTCCGGAGTCCTGGACGAAAACACGGCACGTCGGATGTTGCCTCGTCGCGGACGCTGTTGAGCAAGGGTTTTTTTGCGCAAGCGCTTTGTAAATTTGTGAAACAGTGTGCCTATGGAAAATGGCCCAGTTACAAGACTAAGATGATTCATGACATTTATGAGTTACCTACTAAAAATGGTGACTGATGATGATTTACATATCAAACATATATCTAAACATGATGGTTTTCCGTAGCTATGTCTTAAATCACCAGAGGGTAACCCACACATGAGTGCAATAGATTGGGAAACGAATGCTTGGAAATGCTTGGAATATACCTCAGCCTATGTTGCAGTTTCAATTCACCAACTTCAGGTAGCCAAGCTGATGGGGACTTTTTTGGGCACCCAAATTCCACGGGTTCATCATAAGTTTCCGAGCATTGCAGGGAAGTCAAAATTCATGGTGCAGTACTTGGAACCCCTTTGTAGACATGTAACATCATGTAACAAATGTTTGCAGCATGGGCATGGGCTACATTGGTTTAGTGGCTGTGTCTGGTGTACCGCGTTTTCTTTCTTGATCGGGGAATGGCTGGGAGTGCATACCCGATCAGGGTGGGACCGTCAGTTTTTAAGTTGGTTGTCCCAATTGACTATCCAACCCCCAGAAACCCTGGTGAAATTGCAGTTGTTCACCATTTTCCCATCATTCAAATCCTTTAGGGGTCCAAACTTCCTCCCCTTGCCACCCGAATTCCAGCCCAAGCCACGCATATCCCGGACGCTGGAAAGCAAGAAGAGGTCCTTAGGAGAGCTGCGAAGCCGTCGAGATATACTATAAATGGGATGCCATTGGGGATATATCGGATATAACCAACAAAATGGGAACACCGCAATATTATTGTATTATATTTAATGGGATATAATTATAATGATATATATGTATATATAAAGGCAACTTGATATGACAATTAATTATATGTTATAGTAGATAATAGGATTTGATCATGAAAGGCGGCGGAACAGAGGGATTTACCCGTCAAACATAGGGAGAACAAATCCGTGGACAATGATGAGAATGGGAGATAACTAATCCACAATCATGAGATGGGTGTGTCTGAAAATAGTGGATACCCCAAAACTGCTATTTTTTTAAGGGAGCATGATGATAATCTAATGGAATTAGAGGTATCATATTTGCTCACTAAACTATATGGGGATAACAGATTCAAAATGATCTTCCTGTTTTTCTCGCATCTACGTCAAATCGAACATATGTCGGATAGCCTGACCCAGCAAAATGAGGATTGTTTTGGATTTGTGGCTGAAATCCACAATCATCCATGTAACATGTTTACCCTGAGATCCCCTGCCAGATGTTGTTTTTTTGATCGTTTTCAGCTAGCTAGTCTAATTTGTACCATTCATTGGCCAACAAATAACCGATTAATCCGAGTAACCATTGTTAACCTACCAAGCCAAGGTCAAGCCAGGTACCAAGATATGAATTCCTCCAAGCTTGGTTGTGATCAAAACAGCCAATGCAGATGATTCTTCTTGCCCAGTTGAACCTGGACTCAAATCAGAAGGAATTGCTTTTGCGCAGCACCTGAACTGAACTTTCTCCAGGTCCTTCAGGTCCTTCAGGTCCTTCAGGTCCTTCATCCACTGGCACAGTGACAGCGTCCAAGATGGCCAGCACACCACTTTCGTCCTCACCCCACTCCGTCCGACCCGGTTGATCTTAGATCAACGCCTGCATCCGCTGGGTGCTCTTCAATGGCAATCCAGGCAGATCCGTGCTCTTCAATGGAAACCGCCAACGCATGGCGTTCCATGTACCATGGTGTACCATGGTGTAGCTATTATGGGCGCAAAGACATAAGCAAAGCTTGGTAAGATCCACGTGTTTTTTCTTTCTGAACATGACCATCATCCCATATCATCCCCCCCAATGGTGGAACAACGGTTCTGCTGAACATCACCATACTTTGCTGGTGAAGTCCCCCCGTTGCTTCCTTACCACTCAACCAGAAGGATGAGCATTTCAGCTATATACCGGTGAAATCCGGTGCTCGTGGGATATTTGGATGGTTAAAAAAAAAAACATACGGTACCTCATTCCATATGCTGGGGCTCACCCCCACTTTAGGCAAACCCAATGGGCAACTCTATATCTGCAGGGCATGTTCATTGCAGTAGCTTCCACTCTCAGTAAATTCCATCTTGAAGATTTATCCTAGTTGGAAACCCTGGTGATCATTAACCACCGATGGCTTTATGTAAATCGTAAATATTGCTATTACCACTTGCTACTGCAAATATTGCTACTACCCACTTATCCACTTGCTACTTCTGGCATCATCTGGCTACTCTTTTTCCTTGGTGATATCACCATGCTTGTGGTCATTAAAATATACTGGTTAACAAAAATGACGGTATACTTTGGTTAAAAGACACAGACAGGTGATTCAGCAAAAGTATCAAATCCCAATCCCATTATAGCAATCATTTCTGTTGCTTTTTTGAAGAAAAAAACACAATCTATTTGTATATAAACTATCATCGAAACTTGAAACTCTGAGTAGCTCCACCAGTAAATCTCCATGTTTGAGGCTTAAAGCTGGATTTGCTGAAGGAACAACAGAAAAAACAACTGATGGATTCCCTATTGGGAAAACAGAACATAATCTTCGGCAAAAACCAGGATGATATCCCCAAAGATTGTTGATGAAATCCCCATGAAACCAGCATTGATAGAAGTCTCCATGTTAGAGGCTTAAACATGGTGAATCTTAGATACCTGGCTTAGCTTTTAGCTGGTCAGTACATTTTGCCATTGATAGCAAAAGATTTTGGAGTACTAGTTAGTATCTAACCAGTTAGTTGACACAGTAAAATGGTGGATGAGAATTATGAGATTTTATTACGGGAACTCTGGAACCGTCTATAATTGTCTATAGTCATTGTGTATTTTCCATAGCTATCTCACCTTTGTTAAATCATAGCGGTATTTAACTCAACAAATCCAGGTGAGCTGAAATACTGCTTGAAATCGGTTTCCCGGTGATCATCATTATCATCCACCAGAAATTTAAGCTGAAATCCCAAGAAATTCACCAACCATCAACAAGTTCCATGGCAAAATCAGGTGAACCTCAGAGCCCTTTCTGGGGGCCCTAGGGGCCCGGCCCGGGGCGCGCCGAACTTTCCAAGCTTCAGATCTCCTGGGCATGGCGCCGTCCTCACTGAAGCCCAGGAAGAACAAGCGGAAGCGTGTGGTCGTCACCAGGATGGAACGACGCTCCTGGCATTTTCCAGGTGGAGACAAAGCACGAAAACAGATGGGGAGTTGTTCCCTGGTTTAGCCATGGAAAAGAAAGATAGAAAAACATAAGGGCTACACCAGAACATTGGGATGAAATCCCAAATCGACAATTATGATGATGAACTTTATTTAGGTCTGTTTTGGGGCCTCAGAATAAACATGATCACAGTTGTACAGGTACATGTGGGTGCACTGAAGAATCAACCTAAACTGGGAGATAAGTGATTTTTGAATTTAACTCATTCGGTGAGCTACCAGTGGAAAATGTTTTTTATCTTTCCCGGGCCCAAACATACAAAGACCTTCTGGGAATCTAACGGTCAAGTCAAGTTTAATGGAAAACAGCTCATGTATATATATATATATATAATATTATATCATATATATATATATATATATTATATTATATATTATATCATATATATATATATAATTATATTCATAATTTACTGTAATTTTCATACATATATATATATAATGATATATTTTCATATTATGGCATATGGGTAATTTCCCATAGTAACAAGTGGGTATATGGGTCCAAAGGACTCAAAAATCACACACTTTGTGGGTCTATCGGCCAATATTGATCTGGTTGGTGGTTTTAACCAGCTTGAAAAATATGGGTCAATGGGAAGGATTATCCCATATAATTACAATGGAACAAAAAACATGTGTGAAACCGCCAACCAGTGATCATATTGCTTCCCATGTTCGACTCATACCCATGCCTGAACCTGTCTGAAAGTAGGATGCGCCATTCCATTAGTCGTAATTTTCCCAATTGGAATTGTCACCAATGGATAGAAATGGACGACACGCATTCAAACAAACCTAACTGTCATATTATAAAGTTGGTTATATCATATATCTGGCACCCGCATCACTTAGGGCAACACCAAACGCATCACTTCAGGCAACATCCAGAAATCACACACTCCTCACACTTTGGACGCTCACTTTGGGCAACACGGATTTCATCACTTTGGGCAACACGGCAAACAACGTTCTTATCATCATTGCTTGACTCAGCCATTTAGGTTTTGGTTCGGGGGGAGGGGTCATTCTACTTACACCATTACTTGACTCAGCCGTTTAGGGTTTGGTTCGGGGGGGAGGGGTCATTCTACTTACACCATTACTTGACTCAGCCATTTAGGGTTTGTTTGGGGGGGGAGGGGTCATTCTACTTACATCATTACTTGACTCAGCCATTTAGGGTTTGGTTGGGGGGAGGGAGCATTCTACTTAGATCATTACTTGACTCAGCCATTTGGGGTTTGGTTCGGGGGGAGGGATCATTCTACTTACATCATTACTTGACTCAGCCATTTAGGGTTTGGCTGGGGGAGGGGTCATTCTACTTACATCATTACTTGACTCAGCCATTTAGGGTTTGTTTGGGGGGGGAGGGGTCATTCTACTTACATCATTCCTTGACTCAGCCATTTAGGGTTCGTTTGGGGGGAGGGGTCATTCTACTTACATCATTACTTGACTCAGCCATTACTTGACTCCATCATTACACCATGAGCCGATCCTCTCTTGCACCTGCACACCAACATGATCTCACGCTATCACATCTTCTCCTGACGCTATCATCACCATGAACATGAGGAAGATGAAGATGAATAATACTCGGAAGAAGAAAATGCTTATAACAAGGATGATCATGAAGAAGAAAATGATGATCATGATGATGATGATGATCATGATGATCATGATGATGATGGTGATGCTCACTTGGTGGTCAACATGATGGTCAACCATGAGTGGACAACATGATGATGGGGTACCCGCCCTCCGACCCCTCATGATGGGTAACGTGATGATGATAATGATGATGATGGAATATGTCTATTCTGGACGACGACGGTGATGGTGATGGTGATGATGATGATGATGATGATGGTGATGATGATGATGATGGTGGTGATGATGATGGTGATCATGGTGATGGTGGTGATGATGATGATGATGATGACGGTGATGATGATGATGATGATGATGTTGAGGTATCCCGAAGGGATGCATGAGGCGTAGCCCGAAGCGATGCACCCGACGTATCCCGAAGCGATGCCTATGCCATATATCCCATTCTATGTTCCCGCAAAATATAGTTGATTTATGTTGATTTCCCCATTAAAGCGCCATTATATAATTAACCTCATCATTGTAGCAACCTCAATATAGTTGGTTATACCATCAAATATCTCAAACATCCCATCAAATATCACCATCATATGTCCTATATATATATATATTCCACATGTACTGTTGGTTAAATCACCATTGAAGTCACCATTAAACTCACAATTGAACCCCCATTGCTTTCCAATCCTCCAGGTGCTTGTTGTTCCTGGTCCAAACCTGAGCAAAGCACTGGGACGACACTTTGGAACCCTGGGGACCGTACCCTTAGCTTTTAAACACAGGGGGGTTACCCAATGGTTACGAATTGATTGACCAATGTGAATGGGTTTGGATACGTGTTCAGGACATATTATGTGTATCACTATTTTGGGGACCTGTTATACTCAATAAACTTGGGATTTATTAATCCGCGGTTGACATTCTTCCTCAAGTTAGCGTGAGCCATGAGTATACCTTCATTCACCAATCGATTTACACAAATTTTACACATCAGGACCACTTTAGTGGATCAAACTGCAGTTTCCCCGAACCCAGAGAATTTTGGTAGAAATTCACATGTCTACAATAACAAAATCAGATAAAATCAGTAAATCATTGCTCCTCGAAATAATCATTTTGTTGTGTCCAGACACGTAGGAGATGGTGTTCACCCTCTCCGTGGAGTACAACTTCTTCTGGACCCCATAACTGAAGTCGAATTCGCCGTCCTTCGACGGACAGGCGGCTGGTGTTTTCGAAGGTTTTTTTACATTGGCCGTGCTGTTCAGCCCAACCCTCTGGTAATTTAACATAACTATTGAAAATTGTGATTGATATAGTTGATTTAGCCATTAAAATCCAATACCCTCTGGTAATTTACTGTAACAGACCTATGGGAAATCACCATAGAAATAGTGATTTTTCCCATGACAAATGGTGATTTTCCATGGTTTTTTGTATGTTTACCAGGCCGGGTAGATCCAACAGCAAAGCTCACATCGAAACTTCGGGCCGTGGGTCCAGGAAGATCTTTGGTGGGCACCGAAAAGATGGAACAAGTACATCCACTTTCAATAGTAATATATATATATATATATATGGACAAGGTGGAAAAGATGGAAATATTGTTTTTTTTTTTATTTTTGGGGAGGTACTATATATATATATATGGCAGTGTGTCAAAACCTTGTACCCCTGGTGAACATCAAAAAAGCTGGTAAATGAATGTTCATCCCCCTAAAAATGGTATTATAGTATTAATAGGTATTGATCCATACCCATATATGGACAAGATGGAAAAGATGTTTTTTTTAATTATTATTTGGGGGGAAGGAGCAATATATATATATATATCATTCATTATCATTCTATATCCACATATTCTGGTCATTTCCCGACTATATGCCCACCATGATATCTCATGAAAGCCAAATTGATCATTTGAAATCCCAGTTAGTCCCTACTGTAAAACCACCATCAATTCCCATGAATCACCAATATGTGCCATCAAACCATGTTAGACCACCATTCTATCTATCTATCTATCTGTCTGTCTGTCTGTCTATCTATCTAACTATCTGTATATATATATATATATCTATTTATCTACACACCCTCTGGTAAATCACAACTATTTCATAGGAAAACCATCTATAATCATTGGTTATTTTCTATAGATCTGCTACCTTCATAGTTACCATGGTGAATCTTAGATACCGTTTGTTTTTTTCCTTGGTTAGTACATTCATTGATAGAAAGATGTTCGAGTACTAGTTCGTATCTATCAAATATTGACCCAGTTACCTTCATATTCATATTATCCAAAATTGATTCCTATCATATTCATTCATAGTCCCTAATCCCAGTATCTTCCAATTGTTTCATAGTTACCTTCTTACTTACCTTCATAGTGAAAATAGGGTACCCCTAAATCATCCATTTTCAAGATGTTCCACGAAATAAACCATCCAGCTACTGGGATACTCCATTACTATGGAACCCCCCGATATGGGTATGGGTCAAAATTGGGTACCCCATTTTTTTGGGGGATGGTTAATACTAAACATATATATATATATATATACACATACATTTGTATATACAATGACATACTGTACACATACTCAAAATCAATGGTTATATAATACATTATAATACTAAAACATCGCCTAGAATCTGTGGTCCCCCGAGTCTTAAATTCTGACCAATCCCCACTATCCAGTGATCATTCGCCTATTATACTATTCCTATTTATTCCCATAGTTACAGGATGTATTAATATGTATAATATTGTACAATATATATATACACGTATATATGTATGAATTTAGATTACAAGTCATAAAGGCCGGTGTTGTGTCAGAAGTCGCTCGACGGGATGAAATGAAGAGATCTTCATTCAGGCCGGGTTCCGAGGCCGGCGGAATTTGTAGATCCTAAAGATATCCTGACTAAAAGGGTTAATACTAAAGCTGGTTGGTGGTTGAGAGGCCGCGTTCGAAACCATTTTTTAAAGGGGAGGCGGGGGGCAAGAGATTATTATTACTTGTTTTTTTCTTTGGGGGGGGGCGGGAGATAATCATTACTTCTTGCAACAGCTGGAAAGGAGCCACACCAACGCTGGGAGGCAGGGAAAGGGGGGGAGGGCAATCGATGCTTATTACTTTTTTTCTTCGGGGGGGGGGGGGGCCAATTCGATTATTATTACTTTTTTTTGTGGGGGGGGTGCCGGAAGATAATACATTAATTTATTGCAAACAGCTGGAAAGGAGCCACACCAACGCTGGGAGGCAGGGAAAGGGGGGGGGGGGGAGGGCAGATCGATATTATTGTTTGTGTCTTTGGGGGGGGCCGGGCGGCAATCGATGATATTACTTTTTTGGGGTTTCCTCAGGTGGGGGTGGGCTGGGAGGATAACCATACTACTATACGACTACTACTATACTACTACTACGACGACGACGACGACGATGACGACGACGACGACTACTACTACTACTACTACTAGTACTACTACGACTACGACTACGACTACGACTACGACTACGCCTACGACTACGACTACGACTACGACTACGACTACGACTACGACTACTTACTACTACTACTACTACTACTACTACTACTACTACTACTACTACTACTACTACTACTACTACTACTACTACTACCTTATGGTCGGAAACTACTTGTCCTACTTAAAGTAACTTGAAGTTACTTAACCTAGTCAATGTCTACTTATGTTAACTTAAGCGGCATTTGCAAAATCTATTAAAAATTAAGTAAACACAAGTAGTTTATAAGTAACTTATAAGTAGAACTAAGTAGAACTAAGTAGAACGCATCCAGACATGCTTGAAAACTTGGAATTTCGATTTTGATGTGCATAGTTGGCGAAAAACTAGGTTTGCAAGTGTGTACGAGCGTATATCTTCGCGGATGTTTCAATTTCAGTTGATTTGTAGTCAATAAGGGAGAACAACAGAAACACAAGTTATTTGAAGCGGTCACACCTTGATGATACATGAGGCCACGAAGACTTGAGTGGGCGCATGCAAGCTACCCCACATGACAGCTCTTATATAGATTTCCACTAACATTCCATAGATATCGTATAGATATTCCATAGATATTCCATAGATATTCCATACATATTCTAAAGATATTCCATAGATATTCTATAGATATTCCATAGATAGCATAGATATTCTATATATATTCTATAGATATTCCTTTTAAATATATTATGTTCTACAATCACGGTAGCATAGATATTCCTAGATATTCCTAGATATTCCTAGATATTCCTGGATACTCCTAGATATTCCTAGATATTCCTAGATATGCCTTTCTTCTGCCTTAGACTCCTATACTTCTTGCACGCCAATCCGCACGAGACTATAGGAATATATGTCACTCAAAACGACAACGAAAGCAATCATGCAGCGGCGCATACCGCTAAGCAAACACATACCGATAATCCAGAACAACAACAACAAACAACAAACATGAAGGTCAAGAAGAAAACCTCCTTTTCTCCCACAAAAACACAAACCTCTTTCGAACCATGAACAAAAAACCTTGAAAAACAACAAAAAAACATAAGTAGGTTAAGTAGAATTAAGTAAAACTAAGTCGATCTAAGTAACTACAAGTAACTTAACCTACTTATAACCTAAACCACTAACAGCCCCAACATCTACTTAGTTTCACTTAACAAGTAGCATAAGTAAACCTCAAGTAACTACAAGAAATTTATAAGTTGGTGCAAGGACCGCCCTACTTATAAGTTACTTAACCTAATTAAAACCATGTTACTGCTAACTTATAAACTACTTGTAAGTAGGACAAGTAGTTTCCGACCATAAGGTACTACTACTACTACTACTACTACTACTACCACTACTGCTACTACTACTACTACTACTACTACGACTACGACGACTACTACTACTACTACTATTATACTACTACTACTACTACTACTACTACTATACTACTACTACTACTACTACTACTACTACTACTACTACTACTACTACTACTACTACTACTACTACTACTACTACTACTACTACTACTACTACTCTACTACTACTACTACTACTACTACTACTACTACTACTACTACTCTACTACTACTACTACTACTACTACTACGACTACGACTACGCCTACGCCTACGCCTACGCCTACGCCTACGCCTACGCCTACGACTACGACTACGACTACGACTACGACTACGACTACTACTACTACTACTACTACTACTACTACTACTACTACTTTGGTGCCAAGTCGAAGTTATAAGTGGTTATAACTAAAGCTATACAAGAAGTTATGAAAAGTTATGAAGTGAAGAAAATATCAACAATTTTAGCACATTTTTATAACTTAGAAAAATTGAAAAAAACACTTGTTTTTAGTGTATCGAAAACAATAGTTTTTCTAATTATAGCGGTTGAGCCGCTTCGAAGTTGTTTTTTAGAAAAAATCGCGGTTTTCATCGCTTCCATGGCTGAGGGAATGTGCAACTGGTTTTTAAACAGAACAGGCCACTGTGGGAGCGCGCCTTTTTAGGTGCTTTATGCACCTGCAATGGGTTAGTTTGCTCTTTGCAATCTCACCTTTGCAGTTTCTTTTCTTTTTACAAAGACAAAAAAACAAAACAAAAAACAAAAAAACAAGAAACAAAAAAAAAAACAACAAACTGCATCTGACCCCCTCCCCTTGGGGTGTGCAATCTTGTTTTTTTTTTTGTTTTTTTGGTTTTTTGGTGTTTTGCTTTCTTGGTTCGTTGTTATTTTGAGGGACTGGCAAAAAAAGTGGCAGGATCTAACTCTTTGCCACTTTTCCCCCCTTAGGCATTGCAAATTTGTTTGTGGTTGTTTCTGCTTGCTTTAGGTCTCTGGCTCCATTAGAAACCATGTAAAAACCAAGGAAAAACAGGTATCCTTGGGGGAAGGTTAGGGGCTTGGGGCATGGATTAAGCAATTTTGTTTTTGACTTATTTTTGAAAACATGCCAGAAGACTATGAAAAAACAAAAGCAGCCAATGAGTACGTTTTTTGATATTGACATTGCTGACTATAAACCCCAGTTTCCCCTAGTACATCCCAATATATCCCACCCATATGGGAATGTCTCAAAATGAGGCGAGCCCTTTTTTTTTTGAAGTAGCGTTTTGGGGGTCAAAAAAGGCGCGCCTCATTTTGAGACGTCCCCATAT